CCTCAGCCTGCCTCAGCCTCCCCTCCTCCCCCCCCCTTCCCCCCCCCATTCAGCCTCACCTTGTCTCAGCTTCGGCCTGCCTCGGCCTCATCCTCAGCCTCAGCCTCAGTCTCAGCCTCAGCCTGTCTCGGCCTGAGCCTGCCTCGGCCTCAGCCTCAGCCTGCCTCAGCCTCAGCCTGCCTCAGCCTCAGCCTCAGCCTGTCTCAGCCTCAGCCTGCCTCAGCATCAGCCTCAGCGTCAGCCTCAGCCTGCCTCGGCTTGCCTCGGCCTCAGCCTGGGCCTGCCTCGGCCTCAGCCTCAGCCTCAGCCTGCCTCAGCCTCAGCCTCAGCCTGCCTCAGCCTCGGCCTACATTGGCCTCAGCCGCAGCTTGCCTCAGCCTTAGCCACAGCCTCAGCCTCAGCCTCAGCCTGCCTCGGCCTCAGCCTCAGCCTCAGCCTCAGCCTGCCTCGGCCTCAGCCTCAGCCTCAGCCTGCCTGAGCCTCAGCGTCAGCCTTTCAGCCTCAGCCTGCATCAGCCTCAGCCTCAGCCTCAGCCTGCCTCAGCCTCAGTCTCAGCCTGCCTCAGCCTCAGCCTGCCTCAGCCTCAGCCTCAGCCTGCCTCGGCCTCAGCCTGCGTCAGCCTCTGCCTCAGCCTGCCTCAGCCTCTGCCTGCCTCAGCCTCAGCCTCAGCCTGCCTGCCTCGGCCTCAGCCTGCCTCAGCTCGGGCATTCAAAATATGGCACAGGACCGGTGTTCTGGGAACACGAAGATCACGAAGTGGCCCACAGTTGGCTCCGTCCGGGCATTCAAAATGTGGCTTGGGAATGGTGTTCTGGGAACACGAAGAACACGAAGTGGCCTACAGTTGGCCCCGGGCATTCAAAATGTGGCCTGAGAATTGTGTTCCAGGAAGACGAAGAAAACGAAGTGGCCTACAGTTGGCTCCGGGTATTCAAAATGTGGCCTGGGAATGGTGTTCTGGGAACACGAAGAACACGAAGTGGCCTACAGTTGGGCCCGGGCATTCAAAATGTGGTCTGGGAATGGTGTTCTGGGAATAGATTCCTAAGGATTCCAAGAATTCCCTAAGAATTCCTAAGGCATTTGGGGGCTGACCCTTTTGTCCGGCTCCTTGTCCGGATGCCGGCCAGACCCCCCTGCGGCGTCAAGATGCTCTCTTTTGATCCCACTAGAAACCGATCAGCAAAAGCTGCTAGGTAACAAAATGCGCCTAGCGGCAAAATCTGGATCATGCGCGGCCACCCCGCGATCAGTGTAACATGGTTTTGGCAGGGACGGCGGGAGTGATGGCGCAAGGCCTGCTGTGCGCAGGCCCACCAGACACAATGATGGGCATTGGTTTTCGATACGGATGGTGGGGGCCGACATGTTGGCCGATGTGCGCTGTAACGTGCACAGGCGCACCCCGAACGTGGCGCACCCGGCCTGACTGGAGTATGCGGCACACCTGGCGCACGTGGAGCATGTGGCGACTCTGGCGCACCAGGCGTGCCTGGCACGCTCGGGCCCCAAGGGTGCATGGCGCGCGTGTCGCGCCTGACACGCGCGGCGCATCTCGCCCCAGCGTCGCGCACACGGGGTCGCCTTTGGTTCCCAATGGCTGCCTGTCCAAAAACGACCGCTGAACATGCTGGCGCCGGGTGTTACGTATGTGTTGTAAGGGCGGGTGGGAGGGAGCTAAACGGCCTGCTATCTCGGTGGGCTATCTAGGAGGGCGTTTTGATCACTGTTCCTTATCTTTACTTCCTATGATTCAACACCCCCACATCCCCACCTAGCCGGCCGACAACAACCCCGCCTCCTAGCTGGAAGATGACCTTTTTTTTCTAGCCAACATGTCGTCGAATTGCGAAAAGTGCAACGGGAATGGGACGGAATGAACATCGCTTGGGTAATTGGAGACGGGCGGTCACGCACTACCCATCCAAAAACAATACAAAATCAATGTTTTCCTCGTCAACATGGACTTCCTTGTCGTCAACGCTGCGAAAAGTGTAGCAGGAATGGAACGCGGCGCACATCGCGCGCGGACGCCTGGCCAACCCTACGCGGGACCCCCCGTCCTACCTGTTCAAAAACACCGCAACGTCGACGTTTTTCTTGCCAACATGTATTTTCTCCTCGTCGGCGCTGCGAATCGCGTAGCGGGAATGGGACGCGGTGCACATCGCGCGGGGACGCCTGCTCGTCAACATGGACTTTCTTGTCGTCGACGCTGCGGCCCGTCGGGTTGAGGAGCTGGGCGGACGGCAACTCAGAATGGCTCAAGCAAGTGCGGTTCGCCGCGGTTCGCCGCTGGCGTGCCCGTTGTCGTGTCCACGCAAAACAGACCTGAGGCAACAATCTTTATGTGCTTGACAGATTTTGAAGTTTTCGCCTGTTCGGGTGTCCGACCGCTCCAGACGGCCCAAGCGGCCTCCACGACAGCTCCAAGATAGCCCAAGAGGCCCCCAAGAGGGCCCCAAGTCGGTTCAAGAGGACCTCCAGATCGCCCAAGAGGCTCCCAAGAGGGCCCCAACACTGCCCCAAAGTGCTGCAAGACGTCGCCAAGACGGACCGTTTCGGAAAGCGTCGGACGGGCCAAAAGCCCCCGAGGACGGCCCAAGTGGCGCCAAGAGGCTCCCAAGAGGTCCTTAAGAGACCCACGGGACCCCCAAAAGGTCGAAAAAAGGCGTTCGGGAGGTCCTGGGGGGGAGCAACACAAATATTGATTTTCATTAGTGTTTGAAGGATCGGGAGGTTATCGCCTACTTGTGTTGACAATGCTCCAACCCGGAAAATGAATCCAAGAGGCCCTCTGGCGTATACCAGAAAGCTCCCAGGACGCCCCGCGAATTCCCAAGAGGCGTTCTCCTCTTCCTCCTCAGATTATCCCTCCTTCCCTCTTTCCCTCCCCTCCTCCTCCTCCTCTTCCTCCTCCTCCTCCCCCTCCTCCATGCGCGGCAGGAACGAAACGATTGGCGGTACAACACGCGTGGCTGGAATGAGACGCGGCGCACTTCGCGCGCCGGACATGTTGTCGCCGACGATTCAACATGAGACGCCGGAGCGGGGCGCGGCGTACATCGCGAGCGGTGTTGTTTCTCGTCGATGTTGCTCAATACGCGGCAGGAATAGGACGCAGCTCATGTCGCGCGCTAAACGTCTATCCGCCCACAGTATAAGATGAGCGACAGGCGTCGGACGCGACGCACTTGCTTCTTATGTTGTGGGAGGGCGGGTGGGAATGGACGGCGCCCTCTGGCTCCTTCGAGCTGGCTAACTTGATTCATATACACCCCCTCCCCCACCTGGCCGGCGGCCAACCCGGAACCATGCCGACTCCATGAGGGCCCGCCCCCCGCCAGCCCTGTCAAAAAAACCATACAGATCGCACTCTGCCTCCACATTTGGAGCATGCGCGGCCAACCCGATGCGGCCCGCCCCCCACCATCCCTTTCAAAAAACAATACAAAGTACACTTTGGGGCAAAGTCTTGAGTCATGTTCGTAAGGGCCGCGAGCACATTGTCTTGTTTTTGCCAGGGACGGCGGGGATGTCAGCATACTCCCTGCTGCGCGCAGGGCTACCATCCCTGAAAAAACAAAACATGCACCTCGCGGCTAAATTTGGATCATGTGCGGCCATCCCGCGATCACCGTCACGTGGTTTTTGACAGGGACGACGGGGGTGGTGGCGCGTGGCCTGATGTGCGCAGGCCCACCAGACACAATGATGGGCATTGTCGACAAGGATGGCGGGGGCCGACATGTTTCCCGATGTGCTGTCACATGCGCAGGCGCACCTGACGCACTCTGCACGTGCCCCGAACGTGGCGCACCTGGCGCGGCTGGAGTGTGCGGCACAGCTGGCGCACTCGGAGCACGTGGCGCATCTGGCGCACCAGGCGTGCCTGGCACACTCGGGCCCCAGGGGTGCCTGGCGCGCGTGTCGCGCCTGACACGCGTGGCGCACCTCGCCCCAGCGTCGCGCACATGGGGTCGGCTTTGGTTCCCAGTAGCTGCCCATCCAAAGACGACCGCTGAACATACTCAGGCTCGGGTGTTACTTATGTGTTCGGAGGGAGCTAGACGGCTTGCGGGCGGGTGGGTAGCTTGACCCCTCCCCCTACCTCCTCCTCTGGGCCTGGATGGGGGGGGTCGAGGAACTAGAGCGCCCAAGATGCCCCAAGATGGCCCCAATAGGGGCCAAGACATGCCAAAACAACCTCGACGACGGTTCCAGATACTTCAACATCGCTCAAGATAGCCTCCAGTATGTCATCAAAACTGTTCAAGACAGCCCCAAGACGGTCAAGAGCAACTTCGAGCCTCCAAAGACACCCTCCGAGTCCAAAATCCTTGCTTGTTTTCCAACGCAACATGATGTGTGGCTCCGCGCTTTTTCGTTTCCGATGGGCAGGGCATATTGGGCCTCAAGATGACCCCAAGATGGCCCAGGAGATGCCCAAGAGAGGCCCAAGACTGCCTCAAGACGGCCCAAAGAGCGCCCAAGAGACGCCCCAGAGCGGCCCAAGAGAACCCCAAGAGTCCCAGCGGCATCTTGGAGCCTCCAGGGAGCACGGGGAGGGCCTCAATTGGAAGCCCCCCTTTCTTTGACCGATCTCCTCCAAGATGGCCCCAAGATGGCCAAAGGGGCGCCCAGCACCACCGGGGAGGCGCCGAGCATCATTAGGGCCCCAAGAGGTCCCCACGAGAGACCAAAGAGGCTCCAAGAGGCTCATCCTAAGCATCAAAGACGCTCAAACGTCGACCTGTTCAACCTACCTGTAAACGACTCATGCAAGAAATGTTCCGCCCTCCCCGCACCCCCGAAGGGCATCCAGAGCACCTGCCGCACTGTATGCGTCTACGCTGCACTCATCAAAGGCAAATCACGTGGCGATCGTGTCTGGATGGGCTGATACGGGATGCGCGATGCGTCAGTAAGTTTTAGTCATGCCGACGTTTGCTCTTCGAACACTTTTCTGCCGCCTGGCCCGTTGGCCAAACAAACGCGTCCTCTACGAGCCACGGCAGGAAGTTGAAGCTGGGTTCCCTGCACGGGCCCCAGCCGTGCAGCTCCCGCTCAAGAGCAGCCAGGTAGAACCAGAAGGAGGGGTTGCACTTCGGCCTCCTGGGCAGCGGGGAGGGCCAGGAAACTCTTGCTCTTCCTCCTCCTCCTCCTCCTCCTCCTCCTCCTCCTCCTCATCCTCCTCCTCCTCCTCCTCCTCCTCCTCCTCCTCCTCCCCTCATCAGCAGCATCAGCACCAGCACCCTCCTCATCATCCTCATCCTCATCCTCATCACCATCATCATCATCATCATCAGCAGCAGCATCAGCATCAGCATCAGTATCAGCATCATCAGAATCAGCAATATCATCATCAGCATCTGCATCATCATCAACATCGTCATGATCAGCATCAGCATCATCATCATCATCATCATCATCATCATCATCATCATCATCATCATCATCATCATCAACAACGCCATCAGTATCAACATCATAATAAATATCATCATCAGCATCATCAGCATCATCATTCGCATCACCAACCTCATTATCATCATCACCAGCATAGTCATCATCATCAGCATCATCATCAGTACCATAATCAGCGTGATAATGATCATGCGCATTAGCATCCTCATCATCATAATCATCAGCAAGAGCATCAGCATCAGCATCATCATCAGCAACAGCATCATCCGCAGCATCATCATCAAGGTCGTCAGCATCATCGAACCACCACCAGCAGCAACATCAGCATCATCATCAGCAGCATCATCAGCATCATCAGCATCATCATCACCACGACCACAAAAATCATTATCATCATCAGCATCATCAGCAGCAACAGCATCGTCATCGTCGTCATCGTCAACGTCAGTGGCATCGTCATCCTCATCGTCATCGAAATCGTCGTCCTCATCATCGTCATCATCATCAGCATCAGAATCGTCATCATCATCAGCAACATCATCATCATCATCATCGTCATCATCGCCGTCAGCATCATCCTAATCAGCATCCTCATCAGCATCATCATCAGCATCAGCATCCACATCATCCATCATCGTCATCAGCATCGTCAGCATCATCATCGTCGTCGTCTTCGTCATCGTCATCATCAGCGTCGTCATCGTCATCGTAATCGTCGTCATCATCATTATCATCATGAGCTGCATAATCCTCAGCATAATCAGCATCGTCATCATCGCCTTCAGCATCATCATCAGCATCAGCATCGTTATCATCATCGTCATCAGCATCGTCAGCATCATCATCATCATCATCATCATCAGCATCATCATCATCATCATCATCATCATCATCATCATCATCATCATCATCATCATGTTCATCATCATGTTCATAATCATCAGCAGCAGCATCGTCATCATCATCAGCATCATCATCGTCATTCGCGTATTCCTCTCCCTTGTCTCCCTCCTCCTCCTCCTCCTGCTCTTCCTCCTGCTCCTGAATGACCTCCTCCTCCTCCTCCTGATACACCTCCTCCTCCTCCTCCTCCTCCTCCGCCTCCTCCTCCGTTTCCCTCCACCACCTCGTCATTTTGCTCACGACGCGATGAAGTCTGTGTGAAGAGGCGGGGGAGGAGACAGACCTTCTGTCGTGATGTTGCTCGCGTCGCGAGGGAGGAGGCAGACGAGCAGGCATGAGCACTCCGCCGCGCGGGCTCTCCCATCTGCAAGTCTACCTGATGCCAACTGCAGGCTGGAGCCCCACGACCGATGACGCGCTGCACCCATCGCGCTGGCAGTGCCGTTCGGGTGGCCCTTTGCACACGGCGCGCTGGAGCTGTGATCTTGGCAAGTTCGAAATGAAGGCAGAAAGAGTGGGGACGGCACATAAAACCTGCCAGCGCATGGTGTCCAAAACCGACAGCGTCCGCTGTCGGACACGCGACGCTCGTCCCACACGGCGACGACGATCCCGACAGCGAGCCCTGCTCGAGATGGACACGAGCTGCCGTCGGTCTTCGCCCAAAAATTTGTCCACACCCATCTTTTGCCATCGCTCGGACGTCCATTCCCCGTGCATAATTTGGCTCTGTGCGCGTTTCTCAAGATGGCCCGAGATGCCCCAGGATGGTCCAGATTCTCCGGCGCCGGCCTCGCCGAGAAAAAATCCACACGGCGAGCAATGCTAAGGTTTCGGCCCTCCGAACACTCAATGGCGGCGCGCACAAATGGGGGTTCGGGGGAGGGGGGGGCTTATTGGGCGGAAGCTGCTTCGTAGCAGACGCCGGCCTTACAATTATAGACAAGGCCCCCTCTAAGGAGCAGGGGCGTTTCTAAGAAGCACCCGCCCTTCCCCAACTCGACTGCACGCAAGAGTGACCCTGGGAGAGAGTGGCCTTTGGCGCGCGGCTGTTTCGGGGCATTGGGAGGGCCAACACCGAGCGCGCAAGCCGCTGCTATCGCCTCGCGCTCGGCGATCGGGGGGGGCCCGATGAGCTCGCACCAACGGTCACTCCAGCGAAGGGTCACTCTGTACGTGTAGTCGACCTACCCCCTCCTTCTCCTCCGCCTCCTCCTCCACCTCCTCCTCCTGCTCCTGCTCCTCGTCCTTCTACTACTACTCCTCCTCCTCCTCCTCCTCCTCCTCCTCCTCCTCCTCCTCCTCCTCCTCCTCCTCCTCCTGCTCCTGCTCCTCCTGCTCCTGCTCCTGCTCCTCCTCCTGCTCCTCCTCCTCCTGCTCCTCCTCCTCCAGCTCCTCCCCTCCTCCTCCTCCTCCTCCTCCTCCTCCTCCTCTTCCTCCTGCTCCTCCTCCTCCTCCTTGTTGTACGTTAGACCAACATTAGGTGCGAGCCTGTTGAGTTTCTCCTCTTCCTCCTCCTCCTCCTCCTCCTCCTCCTCCTCCTCCTCCCCCTCCTCCTCCTGCCTCCTGCTCCTGCTCTCCTCCTCCCCCCTCCTCCCCTCTCCTCTGCTCCTGCTCCTCTCCTCCTCCTCCTCCTCCTCCTCCTCCTCCTCCTCCTCCTCCTCCTCCTCTCCTCCTCCTCCTCCCTCCTCGTCCTCCTCCTCCTTTTCCAGCTCCTCCTTCTCCTCCTCCTCTCCCCTCCTCCTCCTCCTCCTCTCCTCCCTCCTCCTCCTCCTCCTCCTCCCTCCTCCTCCTCCTCCTCCTCCTCCTCCTCCTCCTCCTCCTCCTTCTCCTCCTTTCCAACATTAGGTGCGAGCCTGTTGCGTTTCTCCTCCACCTCCTCCTCCTCCTCCTCCTCTTTTTCTTCTTAGTATTCTTATTATTAGTCTTAGTATTATTATTATTCTTATTATTTTTCTTATTCTTCTTATTCTTATTATTCTTATTATTATTATTATTATTATGCTTATTATTCTTCTTCTTCATATTAATATTAATCTTCTTCTTATTATTATTCTTATTCGTCTTATTCTTCTTATTATTCATATTCTTCTTATTCTTATTATTATTATTCCTCTTATTATTATTATTCTTATTATTATTCTTATTATTTTTCTTATTATTATTATTCTTATTATTCTTCTTATTAATCTTCTTCTTCTTCTTCCTCCTCCTCCTCCTCCTCCTCCTCCTCCTCCTCCTCCTCCTCCTCCTCCTCCTCCTCCTCCTCCTCCTCCTCCTCCTCCTCCTCCTCCTCCTCCTCCTCCTCCTCCTCCTCCTCCTCCTCCTCCTCCTCCTCCTCCTCCTCCTCCTTGGGGCTCCCTCCCCGTGCTCAAGATGTTTTCCTGGGGGGCTGTCCAGCCTCCAGGCGAAAGGGATACCGCTGGACCGCGGCTTGCTTCCATATTTCGGGCTCATTGTGAGCCTTCACCCGTGCCTGTCCGCCCAGGTGCGGGTGGCGTAATCTGTGTGAGCTCCTGGCGGAGCAACATCTTGTGCCGGCTATGGCGTGGAAGTATAACACACCGTGGTACGACGCGAAGAAGAAGAAGGGGGATTCTTGGTCGCAGCGGAACGGAGGAGGAGGACGCCGTGGGCGCGACACCTACTCTGTCTGCTCAGCATGCGGCCACTGGGAGTACGACCGCCACGGCAACCGGTCGTGCAGCAAGTGTGGCGGCAGCTAGCACTGTGATCTTCCTCCTCATGCTGATGGGCCTGATGATAACGCTGCCCTCGCTGCTCATCTTCAAGAGTTGGCTGCGCGTTTCCCCTCCATGGCCCATGTGCTCACGGCAGCCAGAGCCCAGGCCTCCGTGGCCCCTGCGGCCGCCGTGGCCGCGCCTCGCCCGCCTGCGACGGCCAGCGAGATGGACAAGAAGGTGGCCGCTCGTCGCACTGATTTGTCGAAGGAGGTCGAGGCAGCGTCGAAGAAGGAGCGCATCTGCCAGTCCGAGGTCGAGAACCGGCTGGCCAGCGTGGTGCGGCATCGCGAAGCCCTTCAGCAGGCTGACCGGGCCCACGCCGAGTCGGTGGAGCGGCTCACGGAGGCGAAGGCGCGCTCTGCTGCGGCGCTGGCCGCGAAGGATGGCTTCGACGAGGAGGCCTACCGCGCTGCGCTTCGTGAGGAGGAGCGCACCGAGGCTGCCGCGGCGACCCGCGCAGCGGAGATGGCCCGTGCCGCTGCCCCCCAGGCTGCGCCTGGGGCCGCCCCTCCGGGCCAGGCGGGTTTGCGCCCCCCGTCGGGCGGTTCCCCCGCGCCCGCCCCTGGCGCCGGCCATGGGGAACCAGGAGCGCGTGCGGCAGGCGGCGGCTTGGGCGCTGCTGGCGGCCCACCGGGGGCCCCTGCTGGGCCTGCCGCGCCGGGCCTCACGGCTCTTGGCGGCATCGATTGGAGTTGGATCCAGGAACACCTCCACGAGGTCTCTGAAGAAGGCCTTGTTACTTTCCACGGTCGCTCCCACCTCTCCCCGGAGCAGTGGCGGGAGATGCGGAAGGTGGCCATTCAGCAGCGTGCCGAGGTGGAGATGGAGGCCGATATGGCTTCCGATGCTGGCAGTGATCTTGGTGATCGCCATCTTCCTGAAGGTGAGCTTGGTGAGCTGCGTGAGCTGCGCAAGCGTGCGGCAGAAGCAGGCCTTGATGGCCCCGCCTCCGTGCGTTACGGCGAGCTCGTCAGCAAGCAGGCGGTGCAGCGCGCCGCCAAGAAGGCCAGGAGGATTGTACAGCATCAGAGCTCCCACACGTTTGTCGCTTTCTGTCAGGCGGCGGCCGCCCAGCTCGGTGCTTTCCCTGAGGCGCCGGCCGGTGGAGCCGCGCAGGCGCCTCAGCAGCGTGTTTAGCAGCCTGCCGAGTGCAGGCCGCCGCGCGCGTGATCGGTCTCGCTCGTCCGATCTTGAGTTCCTGTTCGTGAATGTCACGAGTTGGTCTGATATTACTAAGGGCTTTCTTTCCACTCGTGTCTCGGAGGCGGATGCTGTGTTCGTCGCCGAGCACCATCTCCGTGCTGAGGGGGTGGCTAAGGCTAAGAAGGACGTGAGGGTGATGGGCTGGGACCCGTACTTTCAAGATGCTGTTGACTCTCCAGGTGGTGGCACACATGGGGGGGTTGCTTGCTTTGCGCAGAAAGGTTTACTTGTCCAGCGATTCTTGGGCGTGGTCTCTCGAGTGGTCCAGGTTGGCTCTGGCAATTGCTGGTTCTTTTTGGAGCTTAAGTTGCATGGTTACTCGATGGCCGTGGGCGTCGTCTATTTGGTGGCCTCGTTGGGGGCCGTAGGTGAGAACCTTGTCCGCTTGAAGCAAATCTCGGACTTCGTGAATTGCCTGAGTATTCCCTGGGTCCTCCACGGGGACTTCAATATGCATCCTGGTCTCCTGTGCGACTCTGGTTTCTTGGGCCTTACACGATCCCGTGCTGTTGTCCCTGCTAATGTTGAATTTACGTGTAGCGTGGGATGCACCATGATTGATTACGTTGTGTGTTCGTCTGACCTGGCTCCGTACGCGCGTGTGCGCGCCATCCCTGATTCGCCTTTCAATACACATGCATGCTTGCACGTTCGCATTCCCGCTGATGTGACTACCCAGGAAGTTTGTCGTCGTTCTCGTGCTGCTGCGTTGCCGGCGGCTTTTGGTCCTGATCATCTGTGGCCGCATTATCTTGACATGGCGTGTAAGCACGGCTTTGAATTTCACATCCCGGATGATCTTCGCGAGGCTACTCTCGAGCATACCTTGGCCCACGTTGACGTTCTTCTCTCTGAAGATTACGCATTGTGGTCACGGGCTGCTGAGATGATATATGTTTCGCGGGGATGCGCTCTCCTGGAGGATCTTGACGCTGTTTTAGGACGTGGCAGTTCTATTAGGCGGTTCTCGGGGTCCCTGCGGAGGCGAGGCCAGTGCAAGCAAGCCTTCAATTCCCCGTACTTGATGACGACGGCAGGTAAGCGACGGTGCACATGGAAAGTCGTAAGCTCGCTTACCTTGCCCGTCTATGTGGTAAACCAAAAAAAATCTACAAGCCTGGGGTGCTCTCGGTGGGGTCTTGGAGTCATTCCGTGGTCGGCCTCACGATGGCAGACGTTCAGGGTTTCAGGTCCCAGGCGGCCCAATGCTCGGGCCATTGGAGTCCGGGAGCGTGCACGACCACGGTGTTGAGCATTGGTGATCAACATGTTGATGATCCTGCCTTCCGTATGCGTAAGGAGCAGCTTCAGGCTCTTGCTGGTGTGTGGCATTGTCTGTCTCCTGGTCAGCGTGTGGGTGTGCAGAGGACCTGGACCAAGCAGCGTGATAGGCTACTCTCGTTGGATGCGCCGCGTCGATGGCGCACTGTTCGTGGTCCCATTGCTGCCACGGTCTGCACTCTGCTCGATCTTGAATGGGGCCCTGACTCCATTACCTCATGGTCTACGCCAGTGGGAGTGTTGAGCATTGAGGCTCGTGATTTTCCATTCCACCTCACGAATGCTGTGCGGAGTACGTTGGATCGTATGTTGTGGGGTAAGGCGTCGAATCATTTTTGTGGGGATGGTCTTGAAAGGGGTGCTGACCTTACCGTATTCAAGAGTTTGCATGCGAAGTTGGTCAAAGATGGTAGTTATTCTGATGCTGCCCTACTCTGCTGCATTGTTTCTGGCGGCACGTGGCCTGAGGCTCGGCTTCAGGATGCGGGGTACTTGACTGATGGCATGTGCCCTCGGTGTGGCGTCGCCCGTGAGACGACGCTACACCGTGTCTGGGGCTGCTCTTCCAACGATCAGATTGACTCGGTCCACTTGCTCAGGTCCCGGGAGCTCGTCCAGACAGCCTTACATGATGAGCACGAACGTTCAGCATTTTGGAACCGAGGTATTCCCACTCCTGCTGCTGCTGTCGCCCCTCTACCTCCGCCGATGGATGTGAAACAGGCTTGGGGCCTGTTCTCGGATGGACGTGTGGTACGAGGCGGCCGATTTGGGCTCGATGGGTCAGGAGGGAAGTGGGCTAAGGATCATCGTCTTCGTCGTTGTGGTTGGGCGGTCGTTCGGCTGGACGAGGCTAGCGTCGACGATTTTGAGTTTCGATGTGATGCGACTCTGGCGGGGACTCTCCCTACTCGGACTCAGTCGAGCCCGCGCTCGGAGTTG